CCTTGCTCCTGGGCGAAGGCACACACCTTTCCGGTTCCTTTGTCCGACGTAAATAGGGCAATTCGCAGAGGCGCCGATTGGCTCAAGCCCCGAGGGGTATGGGAGTCCGGTCTGATGGGCAGCTTCTGCCACCCGGACCTCCCCCCCACTTCAAACCATGACAGAGATGCCCTACTGTAAGCAGCTAAGAGATATTCTTTTTTGGCATGTTAAGAGCACTGCAGGATGAGAGAGATGGAAACACTCAGGAAAACCTGTTACTAATTGGGGGGGGAGTGAAGGTGGGTGAGATTTGTTTTGCTTTGGTTTTTTGAAGTTGTCATTGTCACTTTTTGAGGCTCACTCATTGCCATGAGGCTTATGCTGGGAGGAAGATCAAGATAATTTTTGTCAGCTAGGTAATGTTTGCTGCTTACAAGGTTAAATGCATCAGCAGTAAATTTTTCTGGGTCCAGATGACTGTCATGCAAAATCCGTTATTGATCTAAGTAATAGCTGAGTAGTCGGGCGGTCTGTCCGTAGGTGTATCATTTGGTCCTGTGTAACAAAACATGCCAATATTTTTTGTTCTTTTCGGTTTCTTAGTATAATTTTGGGGAGTCTTGTACTTGCTTAGGAAAACTTCCTGTTCACTGTCAAAGAGTAAATTTTTCATTTTTAGTTCACTTTAGTAGTGTCGGTAGGTTTTTCAGCTCTATCCTATTACTTTAAATCTGTTTTGATAGTTCTTTTCAAAAGGGATAGTACAAATAATAAAAGGTAGCTTTTAGTGTGTATGTGTAGGTTATTGATTAAAATAAGTTTATATAAATTAATTTCTTGTCCATTCCAAGGAAATACAAATCATTCATGCTAACCTGCAGCAGCAGCCACTTCAGAAGGAGCTAATGGATATCTGGGTAGTGCCCAGTGGTTATGTTATATCGAGGAAACATATTTGGTGTGTGAAATTGTAATCCTGAAAAGATACTATGAAGAGGGATTCCCTGCTGATCTATAACGCAGGTTGCAACCTTTATAGCTGCTGTAAATGCTCACCTACATGGTAGTAGCTGAGGGATGCAAGGAAGAGCATGCTTGATCTGACAAAGAAACGAAGCTTGGTTCTGCGAAGTGGTAATTTAGTGGCTGCACTTCCATCTACTTTGTTAATCTGGTCAGCAGACTAACTTGGATAGGGACGAAATGGAAAATGTAGTAACTCAGAAGCATTATAGGTACACTGTTTTCGGTGAGCTATAACAGCAGTGTACAGTTGTTATGCTAAGTAGGTGTCAAACAGAAGTCAAAGATAAGATTTGCTACCTGTGACCGAATAGGAGTATGGTTTTCAATGCTGCAGAAGGCGTTGTCAAAAAGCTGCTAC